AATTATTTTATAGCATTTCCAAAACACAGTTCAATAGACTATTTCTATATAATCTTAAATAACTGAAAGAGAAAAAAAAAACTTGCAAAATATGCTAAATTATCCCATTCATCCTATTGGTGATTATACACAACAAAAAGCAATGAAAAAACAAGGAAAGAAGTTGTCATACTGACCACCACTGCTGCAAATAACCTTAAAAGCTTATCAAGATTGCCCCAATAAGTTAAATAACTTTGGGATGACTTTGCTGACACGTTGATTGTTAATCACCATGTGTTTTTTTTTAAGGATTCAGCAGCAGAACAATCAAACTCAATTGCCATTGCCAGAACTTCACATAAACTGATTCTGTGCTCTAGGCTCAGTGGTGGCTAACCTTTTTGGGCTCCTGTGCCATAAATTGTGCACACGCTTGCATGTTCGTGCTCGCGTGCCAGCACCCAAAAGGCAATGCACGCCCCCTACGCATGCGTACGCAATCCCCACCCTGCTGCCCCCTTACTTGCAGTGCACCTCACAGCTGGTTTTCGGACTCCCAGAGGCTTTAGGAAGGCTTCTGTAGGCTTTTCAGGCCGAAAACTAGGCCCATTTCATCACTTCTGGTATTTTTAGAAAAACAGGAAGTGATGAAATGGGCCTAGTTTGCAGCCTGCAGAAGCCTTCCTAAAGCCTCTGGGAAGCCGAAAAAGGCCTCAAACTGGCCAAAAATCAGTTGTGAGGTACGCACATGTGCAGTGAGGTAAGTCTGCCTGCAGCTCATGTGCCAGCACAAATGGCTCTGCATGCCACCTGTGGCACACATGCCATAGGTTCGCCATCACGGCTCTAGGCTATATTACTCAGGTGTTCTACTGCTGACAAGGTAGTAGAGATTCTCTGAACGACAATTTGGAAAGCACCCAACTAATCCTTGTAAACAACTCAAGGACTTCTGTTGGCCAAACTACTAATCAAGGATGAATGTAATAAACAATGGAAATTAATTTATCCAACCATATATATATTCACACAAAAACTGCTTTTCTCAAACTTCAGTCTACAATTGAGATGGCTAATTCATTCCTAGTGATCTAATGGAAAGGAATTACCCTTCCCTGGGTTCTCACGTTCTCCCAGATTTTTGGCTTGGAATTAAAGACCACTGAATCTAGGATTTATGTATGTTCAAAAGATAGAGGCAAATAGGACATTTCACAGTGCAATCAATTGTTCAAGGTAAGGCTGCTAAATTGTCAGAATATTTTTTTTTGAAAATTTTATTTGGGTTCTCACAAAAACAAAATACAAAACATCTTTTTTGAAAGTAGCATGGTCCCAGGTTATCACTTCTTCATACAGACACAAAACTCAATTTCATGCTCATTTTTATATTCTATTCCATATCTTATTACCATTTTATATTTTCTACATAATTTTTCCCCTCTTTTAATTTTCTCAACTTTGTTTTAATTATCTCAATTCAAATCATTATATTTATACTTTTGTCTGTCCTGTTACAATTTCACATTATCTTTTCTTATTAAGCAAATTTTTCCCTGTAGTTAGCAATTAGAGTATGACACCTTTATATCCTTTAATTTTATCCATTCAAGCTCTTATTTAAGCTTCAATGTGTAGCTTTAAGATTATAGCATTCAATATAATACATAACTTTCAATCAAATTCTGCTTGGTACATTCTTAAAATAGACACTATATTCATATAGTGAAGAGCCAAAAAACAGACAGAAGATATTAGAAACACCAGTCAAGCAGAACACAGCAAACTCCAAGACCAATAAACACAGACCAAGACTCCCAACCAATCAGGATGAAGAAAAAACCATTCTGGCACAGCAATAGGCTGCCCCAAATTTAAATCTGAAACCACTGTAAAAGCCTGACTCACAGATGAACACTATACAGAAGCCTGATGATGGCAGATGAGATTCTGCCGAAACGTTGCTACAACTTTAAAAGAACAACTACAATGACGTGGGAAAATACCCGAACAAAGCTGAATGCCATACATGTAAGTACCCGCGAAAACTTAAGAAAACACATATATATATGTTATGACTCCCCTTCAAAATTCAAGCGAGCAAAACAGAAAGCAGCCGTTTCAACAGTAAATCAAACAGAAAGAAGTCTCACAAGATAACGGCTGTCATAAATTACAATCCACAGTAACAATCTTTGCTCTGTTCGGCAAACCAGTCCTGGCAAAAAATTTCAAGCCTCAGAGCTTCTGCTGTATCGTCTTCACACAATAAGTCACTTTGTTCCTGGCAAATTTTTCCAGCCCAGCTGTGTCCTTTTATACTCATTGAGGCAACGTGCTAATTTCCTTAATTATTGACTCGCCCTCCTCCTTCGTTCTAACTGGGTTTGCCTCCTTAATCATCTTCTGTTCCTTACATTTAACCACAAGTTTTCCAAGTTCTCATCTCCACTAGAAGACTCTCTCAAAACTTCCCTGTCAGCCATTCCCGGCTGTTGATCAGATAAGGAACCAGAGGAGGTCAAAGGTCCTGACAATTCTAATACATCAGGTCTGTCTTCCTTTGTCACGTCCATCTCCTCATCCTGGTTACTATTCCCATCACTGAGCCCTGCCGGCTCATATTTTTCTGCCATGTCCTCCTCACTTGAACTCATATCAGCCACAGGAGCTGAATCCAAGCCCGGAGCCACAACATACATACATACATACATACATACATACATACATACATACATATATAACACATTCCATTCCAATTTAATTCTATCATTAATATGCATTAAAAACTTAACATCTTTAACATTTCTTTTCAATTGAATACCATACTTCCTTGGGAACACTTATAAACTTTCCATAGTTAATTCTTTTTTTCCCATATTTCTCACTTATATTTTTATAAATCATTACTAATAATTAAAAATGTTCCCTTTTAATTCTCTCAATCATTTTAGTTCATTTATTTATTAACAAACATCCACTGCATTACAATAAATATTTTATCCATCATCATATTTTCTAAAGTTATTTCTATTTGTAATATAACAAAGCTATCTTATGTACCTTTGCAGAATCCCTTTTACAATTAAATTTTCACCCATTATCTCTAAACAAATTTATGGTTACAATCCTTAAATCTTTTCCGTTTCTCCATTTCTTGTTTCTGTCTTTTACAGCTTCTTTTCCTTGCCTTCTTCCCCCTCTTCTTCTCCCTCCCCTTTTTACCCCCTCGTCTCTCTACGTCTAACTCTCTCATCTGTAATCCCCTCTTCTGTTGCTTTCTAATATTATACTTATCTTTCAAATTGTTCTTCTTCTTTTTGGTTGTTTTTTCTAGTCTTAAACCTTTCACTCTCTTTCCCCCCTTTTCTCCCCCCCCACTTAAAATTATTTGATCATTAAAGATGGCTTCTTCTTTGTCCCAATCTTCTTGTTCTGCAAGCGTTTCTTGTTGCTTCTCATAGTTCCAGATCTCCATTTCTAAGAATTGAAACACAAAGCCAAAAGAACTTCTCCCTTCTTGTGTGTCTTCTTTCCATTTTTTAAGTTCCGTTTTCAGTTCTTCTCCGAGTGATACCATTTTAAAAACTTTTAAACAACCACCCAGTTAATTTTAGTCATCTAGATGCAAAAACCAAAAATCATCAAGTAATCCAAATAATCCAAGGCTGTTTCTACTTGCTTCTTTTTTCCACTTTCTCTTCCTGGGGTTCTATTATTTTGTTACCAAGTTTCCATTAAAATGTATCTTTGAGGAATCTTGTTAAAATTTCACTGTAAGTTCCTTTTAATTACAGTTCCATTCCTTAATTCCAGGCAGTCTCCTCCATTTTTCCAGATCCTGCCCTTCTATTCTTTTTTTTTCTCCTTTCCAGCTTTTAAAAACTTTTAAATGTCCAGAAATCTTTATTATCCCTTTGACTTTTATTTTCAGCTTAAATGCCTATTAATGTCAAAGTGGATTTTTTTTTCAGTTTCTTGCTTAAGTCTCTTAGCTGTCAGTATAAGGAAGGGAAGAAAAAAGACCTAATCCTTTCCCTTCTCTCTCTCCTTCGCAGCTTCAAAATCTTCTTTGGGAACAATGTTGTTAAGTTTAAATTCCAGGGTACCTTATTTGTTGCTTTTGCTGTTTGACACGGTCAACCAAAACTTTCTCTTCTTATCTTCCTCCTGCACATTCTTTTCCGGTTGAGTTCTTCTTTGTGGTGGCCATTTCTGATCACCGCTACAACCGCTTTCGGGAAAGAGAGTAATGGCCAGCTGGGGAGGAGAGATGCGGGTCTCCTCAACCCTGCAGGCAGTCTCCCCCTTCTTCACCACCTCTATGGGGTGGCTTAGCCCCGAAACCAGCCGGCTCGGGGCGCTCCAGCGGCGAGCACGGATCGAAGCCTCGGAGAGACAAGGTTTCGGTCTGTTGCCGAAGAAGCTCAAACCAGAAGAGCCTAGATTGTCAGAATTATGTAACCCTCCAGCGCTACAGAAATTTCAAATAGCAAGGACAAACACTCCTGATTTTTCGCCCAGAAAAAGTCTCGGAATAATTTCCTCAGGTTTTCCATTAAGGATGTATAAAGAAGCCCTGAAAGGTGTTCACCCTTAATAGGATTAAAACATGATCAGAGGAAGTCAACTAATGTCAGTGGCGCTCTAACTCAACCAAAACAATACTAATTGAATTAGCAAATCAACCTTCTACCGCACAGTAGGAGTAAAAAGAAGTCAGAGTGGATACTTTTCCACTCTGTGTTTATAAATGTGAAAGCTGCATTAATGTGTGTTTGTTTATCACATCACTCCAACAAAGTTCTTCTTCTATTTTGGAGTGGGTGTTCTTTATTTTCCACAGCGCCTACATAGCATAGTTCTATCCTTTGTTTCTCTAGAAATCTAAATTATTTATTTTGGCAGAAAATATTTACATGGCATTTATTTGCAGGGTGGTTTTTTTTTCCAGCTGTGACGCTCTTTCCTTTTGTTGTTGTTGTTGTTGTTGTTGTTGTTGTTGTAGTATTAGGAAGGCTTTTCCAGTTCTTAACCAATGCAGTAATACTGATTAATTATTAGAGTTGTATAGCGCACATGGAATTTGAAGTCAAAAAAGGTGCTCAGCAAGACAAATACAGCATCTATTGGCAGCTATTTGAACAAAAATCATCTTTTCTGAGGTTGTATGGAAGTTGAAGAGAGAAGGCAACAGATTCATGCCTCTCTACATGTTCTAAAATTTTTTTTTCAAACCTTGGATCAAATTTCTTGACCTTGCCAGCTCCTGGCAGATGAATTTTTCTAGTATTTTTTTTTTTGACATGTCATTTCCGTTTCAAGAATACAAATCAATGCTTTTGTCTACTATCAAATGGATACTCCTATTGGGGTGGCTGGATTCTAGAGTTTTACTGACATAGAGCCAAGAGGCTGGAGAGCTACAGCAGTTTTCAGGATGAACAGGTTGCTGATATGTTCCAGTTTTGATAGCTACCATGGTGTGCGTGTTTCATAGATTTTTTTTTCCCAGTTCCTTATAATTATGGCAGGCTCCTACGCCACAGTATAATCTCTCATGGACACCATTATTTCTACTGACAAATTAGAAGTCTGAATAATGATGGCTTTCGTGAGCTATATGCACTTGCATGTCTATTCTCCCAGCAATGTACTACAGTGCAGTATTGTATTGCCCTGGCGTTTTTAGCTCAAATGTGTAATTGTAGAGAATGGCTGATTTCATACTGAGCAAATTGTAGCTCAGTGGTATACTACATGCTTTCCCTGCAGAAGACTCTCAATTCAATTGCTGAATATATTGAATTAAAAGGATCAGGACAAAGATGATTAGAAAGATCAGGACAAAGCCTCTGTCTGAGAGCATGAAAAGCATGTTCCAGTCAATGCTTCAAATTATTCAAGAAGGCACCACAGTAGCAAAAGCTAAATTATACTGAAAGAGAAACAAATTCATCTCATGTGCTGAACAGTGGCTGTGAAACAATCTCACACAGCTCTTATCCAACTGATATTTGTACGAGAGCTGAGGATAAGTTTTAACTGAACAGCTACTATTGAAAACATTTGTTATAAAAATTAACTCCTTGCCCTGGTGTTCAGCAAATATGGTCTCAAGCACATAACTTGAGCAACCAGCTGGTTTCCTAAGTAGTTCAATTGGTTTAGTTGGTAGGTGTATAGTTTGTTTGATGGTTACAAAGAGAGTTTGAACAGGTAGAGCTGGTTTTCAATATTTGCTAAGACAATTCCTCACAGTGGCCTTGAGCAAATGAAGCAGTTGTGAGATGAAAATAAGACAAACATGAATACATCACCCGTGTATGATGAAAACTATTTTTGTATGTTTTATAAAAAGAGATGGAGAGCAATAGCAGCAAACAAATATAATTAGTCTGCATCTTAAAATGGAAATTCCATTCATACACACACAATTTAAAAAAGTACCGTTAAAGTTTCGATCTCATTCCAAAATATACATCTTTAAACCTGATTTGAATTTCCAAAGTGAAAAGTCTGCCATATATCACAGCAAAAATTTATCTCTCTATTGTTTGTTCCAAAAGTTGGCTTGGGAGTGGGACCAGGCACAATGCTTAGCTTGTTAGCAGCTCAGAAACTAATTGTCTTGCCTTCTAGAGAAACCAATAAAACAAAGTTCATCTTCCTATCATCCTTTTGAGTCCCTTTTGTAAACACAAGCACAGCATTTACCCTTAACAATAAGCAAGGTTATACATAGTAGTTGTTCACTTTGAAACCGGAAGTTCCTTTGAAGGAAAAAGAAGGAAGAAAATTTAATTCCATAGAGAAAAAATGACAAGTTACTTCGTGTTCTTCTGCATCAAGTTCTTCAGGAGTCTCTAGAAGCCAATTTCATAATTCTGTCTGTCTCTTGAAAGAATGAAGATTCTATCAATACAAGTCCTTCAATAATTTGTCACAATGAATGGCGTTTAGTTCCTTCCCAAAGCTCCAGTCTCTTTGTAGTGAGCAGCTGAGCCACTCCACTTAAAAGCATCAGGAAAATAGTGAAGGACATCACAATGACATAATGGCTAATACTGCAATGAAGAGAAAATAATACGTTAGAAAGAAGCAGATTACAAATCAAATAATCTAAGGGAACATGGTTTACTGTTAAAATTACACACATACACACATGCACGGATCCACACACACATATAATCTTAGGCAGGTATGTTTAAAGAAACAGTTTGCAATGTATCAGTTGCTGGTTTTAACAGGACATTTGCAGAAAGAATGCCAGTCATAGATGGATTTATTTCTAGACATTAGATCATAATGCATTGATGCCTGACAGGCTCCCACAACTTTTTGGAAAATTATGGTTACCCAAGTTACTGGAACACAGAACTGCAAATGTCCTACATGCAGAGTTTATTATTATTTTTGTTTATTTAATTTGTTTGCTGCCTGCAATACAAAAGAGACACTAGGTTGTCCATCACTTCCCAAGAGGCCCATAGAGATTTTGATGCCAAATACCTTACTTGGGAGCTTCAAGAACAAATGAGAAAATGTAAGATAAAACTTAATTTTAAAAAAATATATCCATCATTCAATCAGGGCCAAAAAGGTAATACCAGAGCTTAACCATGGTTTATATAACAGAATAATGGAGTTGGAAGGGATCTTGGAGGTCTCCTAGAACAATCCCCTGCTCAAGCAGGAAACCCTGTTATCATTCTGGACAAATGGCTCTACTTAAAAACCTCCAATGATGGAGCATCCACAACTTAGGAAGAGAACCATTTCCATGTTAATTGTTCCACGGTCAGGAAATTTCTTCTTAATTCTATGTTAGTTGTCTCCTTGATTAATGTCCACCCATCGCTTCTTGTCCTGCCTTCTGGGTGCTTTGGTAAATGGGCTGGCTCTCTCTTCTTTGTGGCAGCTCCTCAAATATTGGAACACTGTTATCATGTCACCCTTGGTCCTTTTTTTCACTAGACTAGACATACCCAATTCCTGTAAGTGTTCTTCATGTGTTTTAGCCTCCAGCCCACCAATCATCTTTGTTATTCTTCTCTGCACTCTTTCCAGAGTCTCACATCTTTTTTTTTTAATATTATGGCGACCAAAACTGGATGCAAGATTCCAAGTGTGGTAATACCAAGGCATTATAAAGTTACTAACACTTCACATAATCTTGATTCTATCCCTCCATTAATGCAGCCTAGGATTGCAATGGGCTTTTTTTGGTAGCTGCAGCACACTGTTGGTTCATATTGAAGTGATTGTCTACTAGGACTCCAAGATTCCTCTCACAGTTACTGCTATTGAGCCAGGTTTTACCTATTCTGTACCTATACATCTGGTTTTTATTGCCTAAGTATAAAACCTTACTTTTCTCACTACTGACTTTCATTTTATTAGATAGGAGTATTGTCTATTCCTGCCAGCTAGGTGTCATCTGCAAATTTGATGAGTTCCTCTTCTTTTCCCTCATCTAAATTGTTTATGAAGAGCCACGGTGGCGCAGTGGTTAGAGTGCAGTACTGTAGGCTACTTCTGCTGATCACTGGCTGCCAGCAGTTTGGCAGTTCAGGTCTCACCAGGCTCAAGGTTGACTCAGCCTTCCATCCTTCCGAGATTGGTAAAAAGAGGAGCCAGATTGCTGGGGGTAATATGTTGACTCTGTAAACCGCCTAGAGTGGGCTGTGAAGCACTATGAAGCGGTATATAAGTCTAAGTGCTATTGCTTATATTGAAGAGTATTGGACCTAAGATAGAATCATGAGGTACCCCACTGCTTCCTTCCATTCATGTAGATGTAGTTTTATTAAAGACTACATGTTGAGTGTGGTTTGTCAGACAGTTATAAATCCATCTGGTGGTGTTGCTGTCTATCACACATTTTTCTAACTTACTAAGGAAAAGGTTGTGGTCTACTTTGTCAAATGCCTGACTGAAATCCAGGTATCCTATGTCCACAGCATTTCGCTGGTCCATTAATTTATTCACTTTGTCAAAGGATGAATTAAAAGCCACTTGACTTTAACATCAGCCCAGAATTTGCCCTCAATCCCTTAACATTTCTGAGAACCAACCAACAACATTATTCAGGTTGCATAAAAAAGTCAATAATAGACAGGTAGGATAATCAAACTGCAGAAACCATTCTTTCAACAATTTGACTAACACCATACAGTTGCCCAAAATTCTTACAAATAAACACAACCTCTCTGGGAGGAAAATATTAACTTTGTAATCCAACTGAATTTTTTTTCTTCATTTCCAAGTAGTTTCAAGATAACGAAACTGTTATTGAATTTGTTCTCATTTTAATGTAGAACTTCGTGGAACCTTATAAGTTCTCCATTCTATATTAATATCTTCTTTTCCTTCCCCAAAAGCTATACACAAGTGAGGAATAAAGCATAAGTCTACACACTTAAGTTTTGATGTTTAAAAAATAAAGAGATTATTTGATGACTGTTCCAATTTGTGTTTTAATCTTCCTAAGCGCAGATGAAATTTTAATTACTCTGAATAATTAAAAGGAATTCATGACTGCATATTTTGTTTGTTCATAGTCAGAAGTTCAGCTTATATTAACTCTAGAGAATCTACTCAGTCAGTGAGAAATATCTGTTGTAGTTATATGGCTAAATGTCAAACAAACAATTGAAACGTCATAACCAGTAGACAATAGGAATTCATAATTGTTTGAACTGATTCTTTGACATTTTCATTTTAAACGTATCCAGAATCAATCATTTGCTAAATTGCAACTCTCTTCTTTCTTCCTGGATTCACCTTTTAACTTCCTTTAAATTATTCTCATTTTTTTCTGTGAATTCTTTGACTCAGTGGCTGTATATTCTTACCAAAAACCAAGCCTAAACTGATTTCAAGAACTAAATTAAATGCATATTTTCGCCCATTACCTGTAATAACCATTACTTGTGTCATTTTTAGACACTAAGAACCTTGGCACAGAGACAATCTTTTTAATGACATTTAGTTAAGCATCGTAAGATGCTACTAAATGAATGGCTGAAATGAGGAAAGCGGGTTTATTTGCATAGTGCAGAACTTGCCTTGCTGAACACAAACTGCCAAGGGGAACTTTATTCCAAAAGTTATATATTACTGAAGTAGTTAGGAAGGAAGGAAGCTTAGTATAAAATCCTGTCAAGAGTGGACAATTTAGAAAGCGAATAGCTAGATAGATGGAGACAGATTTATAGATATATGGTTAAAATGAACTGATATATTTGTTCCATGTATAAACAAATGAAACACACACACACACGAATGTATACCTATTTTACATAGCAGTTGCCCAATAAAGATGATCCATAGGAACAAGAGTATTTAATGTCTTATTTGAACGTGACTGTATTCCTTCTCGTTTTTCCCAATGGAGAATTAGAGGGAACAATCTGTTGTAGGTTTTAGGTGGAAGTTTATCACAACTCTGCTATCAGAAACCCATGACCAAGCATAGCATGGATTAGAAGCAACAGCTATTCGCTTGTGTTTAATCTGTTTTCTGCATAAGCTTGGATTCTTTGCCTGATGGCCTAAGGACTGCAGTGGATAATCATCGGATTGAACATTCAAGCAATAAAGCATAATAATTTGAGGCAAGGCAACTGTGTTTAGAAAATGCAATATGGTTCAGGTTGGATGTGCATGTGTGCACATTTTTAAACAATAAACATTGAGCCAGGGTATATATCATGCTAAGCCAGGCTAATGTTTTACAAGGAGTGGCACCTGCTCGCACTCATGGGCTCCATTCCCTAGGCAATGCAACTGGCAAACAGATGTCACTGTTTAGCTAGAGCATAGCGTATATTCCAAATGTGGTTTCCATGCTGATCACAATTACCTAGAGAACATAATCATAAATAAATCTTGGCTACGTTCTCTGGTTAATACAGGCTGGATATAAAGTGTATCCCGCTTCCAGAGAACACTCTTAAGTGTAGACACTTGTTTGAATATCAAATTACCTAAAGAGAATAGAAAACCATGGTGATTTCATGTGATCTTTAAGCATTTCTTGAACACATTTTACGGAAACAGAGGTTAATGAGTGCAGAGGTGACAGGCCCGTAAAAGTCAAACAGGTTTCACTCTTACCTATAGACATCAATTGCATTAGCAGTCCAGAAAACTTTCGAATGAGCCACACAATTGATAGTAGCTGTCTTTTCCCATTAGAAGTAATTAAATGTGTTAATATCTATTTCTGTCCCTCTGCCTTTAAGCTTCAATAAAAACCCTGGACCTCAGATCAAAAGAGACCATTTGGAATGGTACAGAATCGTGTTCCAGAAAAGAGCTGAAACTTGGTTGTGCATATGTGCAGGGAGGCATGTGTTCTACCGCTGAGCTAGCATTGCCTAGCAGAGTCTGAACAAGGCATTCTCATTCATGCCAATCAAAGCTTACAAAGAGCACTGCTAATCAGGATGAGGACGCAGCATGATTCGGAAATTGCTCATCTTTAGTCATGATTAGAGAACGAACATCAGTGGGGGGGGGGGGGGGGGGGTGGGGGCGGGAGAGGGGGGGGGGGGGGGGGGGGGGGGGGGATAAGCTGTGATCTGAAGAGGTTGGTTGATGCATCAGGAAGTAACTACTTTTAAAAGTTTTAAATGATTCCTGTGCTGATTCTTCCCATTCTCTCCTGATAGTGAAAGGCAGGCATCAAAAGCAAACCTAGAGGCACTTTTTTTTATACAAAGAGCTTAAATGTTATGCCTCCAAGACTACGCGTTCATATGTAGCTAAAAGTTAAGTAGCAGGTCAGGGCATTTTAAAAACAATGTCCGGCCTCTGTCTTGATCCATGAGGAGAATAAATGCCATTTCGTTTTATAGCATTCTATAAAGAAAACCATGGAACTATGTTAGCCTTAGTTCTGAGTTAAAGGAAGAATGAGAATTATCTATTCATAATTCACAAGACTCCCATTAAAAAGGAACTTTGTCAGGTATCATTGAAAGGGTATCCAACCTTGGCAACCTTAAATCTTGTGGACTTCATATCCCAGAATTTCCCAGCCAGTATTGCTGGCTGGGGA